TTTTTCTTACATTTTCCCCTGGCGAGACGATTGATGGTATCACTAGTTTAGTTTTCCTCTAATGCAAGCAAAGTACTTTCTCGTACTAAAAGATCTTTACTAAACAGAACATGTGCTTTTGCAGCATGCGTAACCGTTCTTATATCAGCATATTGATTGTTGGAAAATTGATTTCAACGGTACACAAGATACACCTGAAAATGTCTTCTGTCAAAGTCGAGGGTGAATCGAACAACATCGACTCCCTTAAAGTCATATCATATTCTGCACACACTACTCAGGAGACGAAAAATGTAAGGTCATCGCGTTTTACTTTCCATTACAGGTATATTTTGACTTGAGAAGCTAGAAAACAGTGTCATAGTAGTTAGTTTGATTTGATTATTTCACATTGTGCCCACTTGGTCCCTTGTCCTGTTTAGATCCTAGCTTTTCATTTTCTTGAGATTGAAATCTTTCCTCCGGACCTCAAGTACATTAAGTCTGAATCCGCATGTTTCAAAAATTATAAGTCCAAGTGATTAATATAAAAAAGTACAATGTTGACAGGGAGAGATGAAAAAAAGGAGCTTTCCGGTTTGGAAAATGACAGCAATGTGGATAAAAATGCAGACTACTGCATGAAGGAAGAAGCTGAAGAAATATAAAATTCTGACTGCAGCAAGAAGTCTACTGCATGGAGGAAGAAGCTGAAGATATGTGGGAAAAACTGTTTGAGACAGAAAATAGTGCAGAAATCCTCTCGGGAATCTCCAATGAACTGTTCGGTCGGCTCCAGACTGCACGATTTAGTTTATATGGGTTGAGCTAGAGAGAAGGGGAATTCAGATCCAAAGTTCAAAATCTTACTGGGCAGCTGAGTGAAAAAAAAAATAAAATTGCACTTTGGAGGGCTCAAAGAGATCCCTAACCGAGCTCTTGGAAAGAATTCACTAACTCGAGCAGAAACTGAGGGAATCTGAGTCCCAACTGCTCAACATGGATGATTCTACTGAAAAAAATCAAGATTTAGGAGGTGAAAGCTGTCAAATCCGAAAAGAGAGCCCATATTGTTGACGAATGAAAACGAAGCTACTAGCTTGAAGACTCGTGTATTTGATGCAACCCAGAGACCCGAACAATTAGAGAGGCAATTGATCACAGAATTAGTGATACAGTTGACTCTCGAGAGAGAACGCCTTTGTAAGCAGGTTTGGTACAATTGCTTACACAATTTCATTGAGTTTTTTACAAATAAACAAGATTTTATGTACTTCTTTAATTATTGTTTTGATGTGCATTTTCCCTGCCTTGTGGTTATTGTTCCTCTCTGTATTTGTAGAGATCTTCGAAATTGTTACTTGAATATGTAATCAATCAGTATGGATTTAAAATGAACTGTGAGCAAAGTGTTTGAAACCTATGGCTGAATCAAAAAGAGTCAAACTCGTATCAGTGAAATGGTATATTTTTTTTAAGGTTACTGTTCATTTTTGTGTTAATACTTGTCATAATGAGAGTGACGTTCTCTGGCAGAAATATTTCATACCTCACAACACAAGTGCAAACATTTCCTATGCCGATTATTATATTTCATTATGATTTCTCTGAAGTTCGCTTCTTTTTTTATTTTTTTTAGCAGGTGCTTTTGTTTATACCATTTTGTGAATGAGGTTGTAATTGTGCTCCTTTTTTGTTTTTTTTTTTCCCATTTTAAATGTTTGGCATGGATATGTGTGTATACAAAATTAGATAATTATTTTTTTATAAAATATATAACGTTATATTTTTTATTTATAATTTTACTAACACGAATAAAAAATAAACACTTTATATTTATCGACAAAAATAAATTCATATACGTTTATATGTTTCTAACTATTAGTCTTCTCTATCAATACTTTATTATTTTTTTATACCATTTAATTATTATATTTATTTTATATTTTTTCATAATTTCAAATCAATTTCTCTCTTTTTTTTAGAATAAAAATAAATAATTTTAATTTTTACTTGTATCGTCTCAATAATCATACTAAACGAATTCATCCTTAATTTCCCACCACTCTGAAAAAAGAACAAGTTGAAACAAAGGGGATGACTACGTTACAGGGTGCTTCCGTCAGTGTTTTTCACCGTTGGATACACATGTAAATTATGTAATACAGATAATCTACGGTAACAAACAATGACGGAATCATTCCGTCAAGGGAACTGTAGTAATTCCCTGAAACAAAACGAGGTGAAAAGTTTCCTTATTCACCACGTCACATGATTTTTCAATTTTGTTTTACTCTCACTTTGGATCCCATGAGGCGGGTCCGAACTCAATTTATTTTTTCGGGGTCAAAGTTTCCTGTAGGATTGCACCAAAAATTCGAGTTCCTTTTTTTAGTAAATATATTTAATAAAAATATTAATTTTGTACTGTTTTGCAAATTGTATATCCACTCTTATATTTTAATTGTAAACTTATATTTCCTACACTGCTTATTATTTGAATGTTTTTACTAACAAATGACAATAGATTCTTCATTATGCTTAAATTGCCTAATTAATCTTTAATACTTTGTATTTATTAACTTTTTTATATCATTTTTAGTTAAACGTCTTTTAGATTAATTATTAGGTTGGTGAAAAATTAGAAATATAAAAAGAACTTAAACCACATACATATATATGTAAACAACAAGACCATTTTATTCTTAAATTATTACCGATAAACTTTTTGGCTCTCAAGTTGTTACTTTAGTGCGTCTGTATATATGTGTGAAAGAAGAAAAATCAAAAATTTTTACGCATTTGTGATACAAATTAACTTTATTGTGTGTGAGTGAGTTGAAAAAAAAGCAAATTTTTGTACATATTTGTGAAATTGTGATACAACTAAAACTATGAGAGCGAGTGCTTTTCTGATATTTGTGCTATAATTATGGTAGCAGGGTTTGCTGGCAGTTTCACTATGCTGTGCATGCATTTTGAAAATTTTATTATGTTCAGTCATGGCGTCATGGGTTTTTGTTGTTTATCGTCATAATGAGGAGCAACGTCATGTGCTAATAGATACCACTACTTACAAGAATATGGTAATAAAAAATAAAAATAAAACAAATTTTATTGAAAACAAATTTGCAACCGTTATACCGTTTTGTGAAATGGGGTTGTAGTTGTGCNTGTTCTTGTCAATCAATAGTTTATTATTTTTCTACCACATCCTTTAATCATTATTCATAATTCGAATTAATCTTATTTTTTTTAAAAAAAAATTATTTCTATTTTTTACTTCTATCATCTCAATATGTGGACTAAATAAATTTATCCTTAATTCCCCACAACTCTAAAAAAAAAAAGGGACTAGTAGAAACACAACGAGGCGAATTAGGTGACATGTGACCTTAGGAGAAAAGTTTCCTCATTCCCCACTTCAAATGATTTTTCAATTTTAATTTTTTAGTAAATATATTTAATGGAAAATAATAATTTTGTAATGTTTTGCAAATTGCATATCATCCCTTATATTTTAAATGCAAACTTATATTGCCTCCCTCTAGTATTATTTGAATGTTTTTACTAACAAATGACAATATATTCTTCATCTAAGTTTAAATTAATTTCATAATCAAATTTTATTATTTTTTGTATTAATTAACATTTTTTATCATTTTTGAGTTAAATGTATTTGAGACTAATTAATGGATTGGTAAAAAATTAGAATAATAAAAGAATTTAAAAATATATACATATATATTAACAATGAGGCCATTTTATACCACCACTAGTCAATTTTTACTGTACAACTTTTGGGTCCGAAGTTATTACTTTTGATCAGTTGACTTTTAATCAGTGTGTGTGTGTGTGTGAAAGAAGCAAATCAGTGTATGTATTTGTTCTACAACTATGACTCTATGAGAGCAGGTGCTTTTTTGCTTGCACGGTTGCACCATTATGTGCATGGATTTGTTTTTGTGCCCTTTTTTGTTACATACATGTTAATAATTAAATTTATGTGTTGTAGGGACCAATAACCGGTATCAAATTTATTTTTATTTCATGTATATATTACATGTGAAATATAATTTTTAGAATTAATAAATTACAGAATATAATAAGCACTTGCAATAGTAAATAGTTATAAAAATAAAAATAAGTTCAATTACGCAGGTTCATGGAGAACTAAACACAACATTTATAAGTTATAACCCAATACATTTTTGACCTATCATCTCTATGCTTATGAGAGAAAAAGTAGCGCTCTTAGAGGTTTTCGAAAATTGTCTTTAATGCATGTTGTTAATATAAAAAAATATCATCATCATTTAAAATGCAGTTATATTAATTTGAGGGTATATGGGTTGTTGATTAAAAGATGATTATAACTTTTTATTTCGAATTCGGAGAGAGTATAGTTGGTAAGATTCCACATTTGACAAAATTTGAGGGTTTTAAACTAGAAAACATCATATGATAGCTTATTAGATTAATTAATTATGACATAATCCTCAAATGTGCTCTTTTGCCACGTCATATGATTATTTTTGGAAAATTATCCATTAATGAGACAATTTATTACTTTATTTAATGCTTAACTTCTGGAAAAATATCCATTAATACACTTAATTTATTCCTTTCTTGAATGCACGAATTTAATATATGTAGCTCATAATTTAATGGGCAAATCAAAAGGACAAAGATTTTTTATTTAATTGTTTTTAACAAGTGAAAAGTGAGAAGTGAAAGTGACATCTTATTATACATACTTTCCTAGTGAAAGCAAAATATACTTTATCCATGATATGTATATGTGTATACTATACACGCAGTACTCAAGACCCATGCTTATTTCAGCACAAGTTTTTTTATTTTCATTATTTTGTGATGTAGCTAATTTGTGTTGTTTTTTGTTTTAATTCATTTCAAGACCCAATGTTCTTTTTTATTATATTTATAATATATATGTGTGTGTATATGTATAGATGATTTTTCCTTTGTATTAAATCCTCTACTTTCATTTGTAACTCTTTCAGTAACATTTAGCTATTTTTCTATATATTTTGCTGTATTTCACAATTCATGGCAATGGCATTGTTAGGTGGGCTAGCTACACCATTAATTCAACCTAGGAAAGTTGGAGGAGGCACGAAGTATCCTCCAAAAGTTTCATTTGGAGGCATGTTATTTCCATGCAAGAAGAATTTTGTTGGAGGCATGTTAGTTCTAGTTCCCGTGGAGAAGAAGTTTGTTGGTATGTCTTAGTATTTATTTTTTAATTAAAGTTTTCAGAGTATGATTTTTTTTTTAGAAGAAATTTTTAAAGGCATACTGTACTGTTTATTTATTTTTGTTGGGCTTGGATAGTGCAGCCCAAGCTGAGCCTAAATTTTATTAATTAATTTTGAAGGGCTTCAAGTGGAGTGTAAGAGAAAACCGAGAGGAGCCGGACGGGATGGCCCGTACATGTGTGGGGAATGTGACGAACGATTCAAGACAGAAGGAGGTTATAAAAACCATTGGAACACAAAGCACGCCGAAATTGTCGCCAATAAGTTTTGGTGTCGGAAGTGTACTCACTATTTTATCAACTCGGAGAGGTTGAAAAACCATCAATGTCTTACCCCTATCGAGCGAGCGTTAAGAGACGACGCTCGCATTCGGGAGGAAGAGGAGGAGAATATGAAAAAGAAAGAGGAGAATAAGAAAAAGAAAGAGGAGATGGCTGCGGCGGCAATAGCGGCGGCGGAGATGAAGTCACTGGCGCCGGAGGAAAAGACGCCTCCGACGGCTGAGGAAGAGGCGCCGCCGGCCACCGAGGAAGAGACGCCACCTGCGTCTGATGAAAAGGCGCCGCCGGTGGAGGAAACCGAGAAAAAGAACACGTAGACTTCTAGGGTTTTTCCTTTCAACTGCTCTTTTGTTTTGGGTTAGTTTTTGTTTGGAGCAGCAATATATGTTAATCAACTCTGCTTTTAATGTTTATGTTAATCTTTCTTTTGCTATTTGGCAACGAGCATAATTTTATCCTGTTATGTGATGCTGATTTATACCCTGTGGCTGAATCACTCCAATTACTATTGACTGCCGTTGCTAAAGTAATTGGTATGGATGTGTTGTTTAAGTCATTATATTTTAAGTCAGCGTGTCAGTAGCAATGAGTTTGCTGGCACTGCTGATCTGATTTTGAGTTTTTGCTTCAGCAATTGCATGGTTCGCTTACTTGTGAGGATGTTGGGGAGAACTCGGATGGGATTTTCTTAGGAGTAGTTTTTGGAATTCACCACAAGTCTTGTTTACGACTCTTTCAGTACTGATCAAGTTGCAATGATGATCAAAATATTGGCATCTTTGTTAAACGAAAGCTTTGGCATCAAGCTTCTTAGATGAGCATGCCAACAGATGTTTCCCTCTGTCCTGAATCTGTTAATGTGAAGGTTCTTGATTTCTTCACGGATCTTTTTATCTGGTGAATATTTGTTGGCAATGCAGAAGTTGCGCACAGAGTTTGTCGAAACGGATTTGGTTTCAGTGTCAAAGTGGCTGGAGTTGAGGCTATAGGATCTGTAACTGGCGTCTAAAGTTTGTACCTTCACACTGTCCTGAAAGTTTGTTGCTCCATATGTGCAAAAGTCTGTCATCGAGGTCATCGTAAGGTAATTTGGTCATTATCCACACACCACATTATATCCAACCAAGTAAACAAATGATTTAGTAATCCTATCGAATTGCATTAAAGATATCAAAATAACAAGTAAACAAAAAATCGTTAGAATCCCCATATAGTATTTAATTATGATTGTCCAATCTCCTCTCGTTTAGTAAAAGAGGCCTATATGCATAAATCCACAAGATTATTGGAAAGACAGCAAAACCATGTACTCAATAAACCACTGTTCTAAAAATCGGCCTAGGCGGCGCCTAGGCGCTAGGCGGTGCCCGGGCGCCTCCGATTTGTACAAATCGGCAGAAAAAATCGGCCAGGCGGCTAGGCAGGCCTAGGCGGCCCTAGGCGCTCCTAGGCGGCCTTGGCGGGCTCGGCGGCCAGGCGGTTAGGCGGCGTCTAGATGGGCGTAGGCGGACTTAGGCGCTCCTAGGCGGGTTCGGCGGCAATTTTTCAATTTTTTTTAATTTTTTTTTTATTTTTTTAAATACTAATTACGTTATTTTGTTCTCATATTTTCTTTAATATATATTAATATTATTATTTGGACTTTGGTGTGTGAATTTATTATATGTTGAGATAATCTTATTTTGTAGGTAGTTAAAATAAATTAAAAATAAGGTATTTACTATTGATTTCTGGGCCTCGACTAGGCGCCGCCTAGGCCCCGACTAGGCGCTCTAGGCGCTAGGCACTGGTCGAGCGCTTAGCGGGCGCCTAGCGACTTTTAAAACACTGCAATAAACTCAAACATCCACTTAAACATCACGTGAAACGATGTAGTATATAAAAAAAAAAAAAGAATTGAATTAATATGCCTTATAAGCTAAAAAATTAAAAAACCATATTACTCTTGATCCACCCCAAATGAAAACTACCTATAACAAATCTAGAAAATTAATTCAATTTTGAGTCAGGGAAGAACCACATAGGCCCCGGGGAAGATCTTCCTAACATCACTCGGATAATAGCACCGCGAAACAATCTTATCCTCGTAATTGAAGATACCAATGTCATGGCCACCACACACACAATTCTCAACTCGCGTCAACACTGTTGGATCCGTGAAGTAAATGGAGTTGGGCTTCAGCTCTAAGAACTCGGCCGCTGGCAATGCAACTCCATGGCTGCCGAGGCCAACAAAAATAGCCCAACCACCGAGGGACGAGCCCTCCACGTACTTTGGATGATCAACATCCTCAGGATCGTATCTATGAACATCGAAATCAGCAGTCACTTAGCTATAGTCAGGGTTCTTTTCTCAAATTTAAATGGCCTGAAATATGCACTCCATATTGAGACACCATCAGAAGATCCTGCCCTGCAATCACCACATACTCCCTAAAAATTTCTGCTCCAACTTTTCAATGGGCTTCTGGGGTGTTTTCTCGTAGGTCATGATAACTCTCGGGGACAAAGGGTCCCGCAGATCCCAACACTCCACGTCACCACAATCAACGAGAGCAAACAATACTTGACATTGTTGCTGTTCGGAAAAGGAGTAGACACAATCCGAATAACTACACTCTTCCCATCTCCAATTCCACGAGGTCAATCCATAATAGCTCAATCAGAGTCCACTTGTGACTGCGCCCCGGGCAGCAGAAAGCCAGACCCCGCACAACATTGTAAATGATGGCGGCCCGACAGCCTTCTTCTTCAGGGGAGCAGGAGAGGATGACCTTGTGCAAGCCCCTCGAGCTGCTCGGGGTAATTGGGCAAGTCGCCAACTGGGGGAAGGTTGATGCGGCGGCGGGAGATGGGGTTATAGAGGAAAAGGTCGAAATTGCGAGGGTTGAGCAGAGCTAGCTAGCCGTGCGAGGATCCCCTCAACACCATCAGGTCGCTGCCGGCCGCCGGGAATTCGGTGCCCAGGGTTAAGACTTTGTTCTCGACCAGGCTGTAGAATTTGTATTTCATGGTGGCGGTGGGTCCTGCAGCTTCAAATACGTGGGGAAGCATCAGACAAGGAGATGATGAAAAAGATGAAGATTTTGGTTCCGACAATATCACTGTAGAGTAAGAAGAAAAAGAAGAAGAACATGGTCTAGTCGAAGACAAAATCATCGGACGAACGCCGTCCGATTTCAACCTAAAGGACAAAGTGGAACGAGGATAGGAACGGGAATCAGGAATCTTATTATTAGGAATACTTACCGACCCTTTTTTCCGACGGCCGAGAACAGAGGAGGAAGAAGAACAAGTCATTGGCAAAGAGAAAGCCATTGTCTCTGTGTGGAATCTTGGGGAATCTGCGCCTAATTCGTGTTTCAGACAGTCGGGTCCACCTAATTGTGTTTCTCACTTATAATATAAATTTGGTTAATTGTTAATATTGATGATTTTCTTTCCACTTTGATTATACTCGATACTAGATGTTATAGTAGTATGATAGTATCTATTAGAATTTTGGTTATATTCTTTTTACCATACTTGACAAATATGTTACTTTAATATTAAAAAGGCACAATTTTGTTCTATAAGAGAATGAAATTTGGGGATAAAACTAGGGCTATAGAAAATTAAATTAAGAGTTCCACCCATGACATCTTCCACCTGCATCTGTGGGAAATGGTTCGCCGGATCTGGAAAATATAAGGCCCGATCTCATTCTTCTCCTGGAATCTATCCCCCGACCACCACCAGTCGGCTATATTTGCCGGTCAGCCGACAGATGACCGCGATTTCGCTACAAAGTTCATCTTATCCGTCTCCCCGACAGCAGCTGCCCCCCAGCAGAAAAGTGGTACGGCTGGCAGGCTGTGCTGAAATGGACTTTTTTCCCGGCGATGACTTCGTGCTGAGGGGATACTCTCACGGCTGGCAGGCTTTGTTCAACCCGGACAGCCTCGACCTGTTCCTGTACAATCCCGTCTCTCGCGGCCGCATAAAACTTCCCCCGATCAAGCAGAGAGACCTGCCGATTCACCCCTACTATAACTCTATTACTTACATGAGGGAGAGCGTCGACAAGTGTATCCTCTCATCCTCCCCCGACGAGGACGAGGAAAACTGCCGGGCCGTGATAATCTTCAACTCCATTGGGGCACTCGCCTGTTGCTGCCCGGGAATCAGCGAGGTGTGGACCCCACTGGGTGAGATGGAGATGTTCCTGTGGTGGGACGAGGTGGCTGGCCGCCGGTGGAGGTGGTCCGGCAGCTACGAGGACTGCGTGTACTCGCCGGAGCACAAACTGTTGTTCGCCCTCACTACCAGCGGGCATCTGAACTCGTGGGACCTGCGGGACCCGCTGGACCCGGAAAAAAGGGAGCTGGCTAAGCTGGACAGCAGCAGGCATGATCGTACATTTGATAAATTCAAGTTTTACGATGAGCGGTGTGAGCGTCGGCCAGATAATCTGCCGGTGGAGCATCTGGCAGTGGTTGGGCGGGACTTGGTGGTGGTGACTCAGCATGCTGGTGGTGGATTTGACGTGCATAGGTATGATGCGGTGGAAGAAGAAGGTGGATTTAAGCGTTCGGGCCTCGGTGCTTGGGCCCTCTTCATTGGCTTTCAGAGTAATGCTTTTGCTTTGTCTGTGGCAAACTTCCCTGGGCTCAAGTCCAATTCAATCTACTTCACAGATAACATCTATCAAGATAACAGCACTCAAGTTGTCCACATTTTCGATTATGAAGACAAGACCGTGTCGCTGAGCTATTATCCATCTAATGTTGAGGACCTTGAAAGGATTATGAAACAAGACAAGACCGAGCTATTATCCATGTAATGTTGAGGGATTGTGAAACAAGGGTCGATCTAAATAAATGTATGTCCATTTCTTTTTCCACCCAACACAGAGAGGATTTCCTTGATTGATTGTTTTATTTCATTGATTATTGCAAATGCATTAACATTTTCTTTTTTCCAGCCAACATATGCATAAAGATTTTCTTTGTTAAAAACATGTCCTGAATATCTGGATCATCAAGAGGTGGACTTTGGATGTTGAAGTTCATATGGTCATTTTTGGATGCTAGCAGATTGAACCTCATTCAAAAAAAATATGACTCATCAAATCAACTACTTAGCTTGTTTTACTAGCTTTTGAGCCAAAACTCCAGCTTTAAAAAAGCTCTAGGAGCAATTTGAGAAGAGGTGATTCATAGAATAACATAATTTTTCAAAATAGCCTTACAATTTCAAAATAGCTTTACAATACCCGAATTTGCCAAACAGTATAAACAACTAGTACAATCCGCTATTCATATCAGCTAGTTCAACCCGCTATCAGCAAATAACGAACACAGGGCCTCTCTCTTTCAATATATATGTATATATAGTTACATACACACACACATGCATAATCCATAAGATTATTGGAAACACAACAAAATCATACATCCACTTGGCATACAATTTCTCCAGATAAAGATTAATAATAATAATCACATGACACGATAGCATTAATCAGTAGCCTTCAAAGAAAGAAAAAAAAAGTAGAGAACTAAATTACTCTGCCTTATAAGCTAAAGAACTACATTCTTCATGATCGCGTCCATCCAGCCCAAATGAAAACTCCCTATAAATAAATAACTAAAGAAACATGTAACTCAAAATCCAGAAAATCAAATCAATTTTGAGTCAGGGAAGAACCACATAGGCGCGGGGAAGATTTTTCTAACATCATTCGGATAATAGCAACGCGACACAGTCTTGTCCTCATAATTGAAGATACCGATGTCATGGCCAGCACACACACAATTCTCAACTTGCGCCAACAATGTTGGATCCGTGAAGTAAATGGAGTTAGGCTCGAGCTCCGGGAAGTCAGCCGCCGGCAAGGCAACGGCGTGGCTGCTGAGGCCGACAAAAATAGCCCAACCACCGAGGGACGAGCCCTCCACATACTTTGGATGATCCAAATCCTCAGGATCATATCTATGAACTTCGAAATCCACAGTCACGTAGTTGTAATCAGGGTTCTTTTCACCATCGCTCAAAATTAAATGGCCTGAAATATGCACCCCATATTGAGACACCATCAGAAGATCCTGCCCTGCAATCACCAGGTACTCCTTAAAAATTTCAGCTCCAGGAGGCTCCAACTTTTCAATGGGCTTCTGGGGTTTTTTCTCGTAAGTCTTGATCACTCTCGGCGACAAAGGGTCCCACAGATCCCATGATTCCACCTCATCACAACCAGTGAGGGCAAATAATGCTTGATGTTGCGAGGAGTAGACGCAATCCCTATAATGCCCTTCCCATTCCCAACTCCACGGGGCAAACCCATAATAGCTCAAGCGAAGATCGCCAAGCAGAGTCCACTTGTGGCTGTGGCCCGGGCAGCAGAAAGCCAGCACCTGCGCATCGTTTATGATGGCAGCCCGACAGTCTTCTTCTTCAGGAGAGGAGGAGAGGATGAGCTTTTCCAGGTCCCTCGAGCTCCGTGCGGTGGGGTAATTGGGCAAGTTTCCAACTGAGGGAAGGTTGATGCGGCGGCGGGAGATGGGGTTATAGAGGAAAAGGTCGAAATTGCGAGGGTTGAGCAGAGCTAGCCAGCCGTGCGAGGATCCCCTCAACACCATCATGTCGCTGCCCGCCGGGAATTCAGTGGCCAGGTTTACGACTTTGTTCTCGGCCAGGTTGTAGAATTTGTATTTCATGGTGGTGGTGGGGCCAGCTTCAAATACGTGGGGCAGCATCAGACAAGGAGATGATGAAAAAGATGAAGAATTTGGTGGAGAGTAAGAAGAAGAAGAAGAAGAAGAAGAAGAAGAAGAAGAAGAAAAACATGGTCTAGTCGAAGACAAAATCATCGGACGAACGCCGGCCGAGTTTAACCTAAAGGACCAAGTGGAACGAGTATAGGAACGGAAATCAGGAATCTTATAATTAGGAAATCTTACCGACCCCATTTTCCGACGGCCGAGAACAGAGGAGGAAGAAGAAGAAGAACAAGTCATTTGCAAAGAGAAAGCCATTGTCTCTGTGTGGAATTTTGGGGAATCTACGACCTAATTGTGTTTCAGACAGTCGGAGCCACCTACACTGTACATGTGTTTCTGACGGAGACCGTATACGAATTGTTCCAAGAGAAGCAAAACAAATCAAAATAAAATATTTCCATTTTCTCTCCATAGCATTTATTTAATTATTATATTAAGTATTAGATAGTAGTATCGATTAGAATTTTATTTTTATTTTTTTACCATTCTTGATATTTTACTTTAGTAAGTTTTTTTATTTTATTATTTCTAGGTAAAGGAGGGATCGTGCACTTAAATGGAGAAGGAGCCAATTGTTTTTATGGATCTCGCACTCAACTTGAAAAAGATCTTGATCAAGGTATGGAAATTTTGGGCAAGATTTAAAAAATCAAGAAAACTGACAAACAGTGTTCCTACGCAAATATTTACAAAGATTTTGAAGATATCTTAATTCGAAGATATGGCACCAAAAAACACAAGTCTTTAGGCTCTAAAGTAGGTTTCTTCAGCAACAAAAAAGAGGTTAGTCTCCTATGAATATTGACATGGATTGCCTTTCTATCATCAGCTGTTAGTAGTCACTCTGTCCTACGGACATTGACTGGAAATGCATAAACATTTTCTTTTGCTAAAAACATGTTCTGAATATCTTTATACCTAAACATCATCATTATTTCATATTAAAAGTATTAAAATACTACAAATATAGTAAATCTCTAATTTTGAATTTTGGAATATAGATAGTGGAAAATCATAATATCACAGTTTCCGTAGTTTGTTTGTTGTCGTTCATTTTTAAATTTGGAGTCATCCACACTATTCACCAATAGTGTATTGACACGTGTCCTGCAATAAATATACTTTTGACACCTGTTTGTTGTCGTTCATTTTTAAATTTGGAGTCATCCACACTATTCACCAATAGTGTATTGACACGTGTCCTGCAATAAATATACTTTGGACAGGTGTCAATACTACATTAAGTGATGGATGACTCCATAAAGAAACTATCCGATGGCTCCATATTGATACTTAATGTTTCCAACTAAATAGAACATATAAATTGTTTCAATACAATTTTAAAAATTAAAATGCATCCAAGCATAAAAAGCCAAAAAAAGTGGTAATATTTAGGCATATAATTTCGAAAACTAAATTTTATCAAAAAGGATAGGAAACATATTTTAAATTTCATTCAAAAAAAATTCTTTGACTCTCCACTTTTGAATGAACCATCAACATCTTTCAATCAACCGATTTTACTATGAAGCCAATAGTTGGCTCCATAGTGGAGCCAAACTTCTATATACAACAAATAAACCTACCATATTAATAAAATTATATTAGTGTTATTTAAATAATTAGAGAATATGATAGGTTTACCTATTTCATAGCAAAAACCGTTCAATCAACATCTTTCAATGTATATAAATTGAAGTGGAATTAACTTGGGCCTTTTAACTGAATGGAATAATAAGCCAATTTTAGAACCAAGAATAAACACAAGAATCTTTTCATCTGCCTGAGAATGTACTTTACCCAACCCATGGAAAAGTCTCAGGGATCAACTCTGTACAAAGCTCATTAACCAAAATTGTAAATAATAACAATAATGATAACAATCATGTATATATCTCGATCCAAGTCCACGCTGTCCTCCCATGCACAATCGATACCTAATTATTCAAACGCCAAATGTACGAGCTCTGCTATGTGCAGATCGACCAATGGAGCTCTAAGGGGCAAAAGGCCAAGTATAGGCTCGTCAAACTTTCATCTTCATCCACTCATCGCAAGACATTCTTGAGGATTGGCATAAAAATAATCTTCCTCTTTTGGTTTATCTGGAATTTTAACACGATTTCTTGGGGTTCCCATTCGGTTTGCATGGGCATTCTTTACGGATAATGAGAACTCGTCCCAATTCAATGATCCATTGGTATATTGATCTATTAAGCCAACAAGAACTCTTCTGTCAAGTAGAATAGTTTTCTTGAAACCCAAGTGCCTGCAGGATTTAGAAGGAAAAAGATACTGATTAATTTTATTTTTTTTAACAAAAAAAGACCCTTGAGGTTTAGTCGAATTTAAGAATATTGGCGCAGTATACTACGAAAAGTTATGAACAATCCCGGGGCATATTTGTACTTTCAAAAGAAAATTTGTTTATTTCTGTAATTAGTAAGAAATACTACCAAATTAACAAATGGAAATCTGAAAGTTTGTGCTGATGAAGGAAAACTCTACTTAAAAAGGTCCACAAATAGAGAAATGGAAAATACATTTGCCCTGAAAAACCGGTAAAAGCGCAATTTTAGTACCTTCTGTGTCCTTCAACAACTTTAGCCATATTCCCATCATAAGTCGGAACAAATACATCACTCTCCAAGGAGACTATGTAATCCAAAGCTGCCATCTGAGACGAGTGGTTCTTGAAAAACATCAAGTCCGAAGGTTCAAGCAATGTCTCCTTTTTTACCTATTTCATAAAACCCAATTTTAGAATGAGAAAGATAATCCATATATGGCATTATCGTCTTTCAAAACTGTATACACCCCATGAAGGAATGCAAATTTAAAAAATTATCCCTCAAATAGTTGCATTTTGTGAAAATAAATACACGAGATATCAAGACCCTTTTTTTCATATATAAAAGTTCAAAACATGATAATTTTGCCAACCAGATTTGGAAATTCCTTGGCCAAGCTACTCAATCTCCTTTTCCCGCCATATATTTCGCCAGCAGCAATATATATTTGAACGTTACGGTCAATCCCGAGAGCAGTCAGAACCAGAGCAGTTTCTTCGGGTGTCAAAGGACATAAACCTTCTTTCCTTTTAAAATCAGGATCTATAACTTTCTCCTTCCACCATGGATTGGCATATCTAGTAAAGATCAAACCTTTCAGTCGGTAAAAGTTTATATATGACTGTCAGTAACTTTTTTGTTTTCACTAAAGAAGAAAGTTATGGTTTTACCTCAGTGTAGTGAGTTCATTCACTTCCTCACTGTTGCAGCCTTGAGTACAGCCAGAAAAGGACAGCATATCCATTTCATATCTAAGATGTAGGACCAAAAACGGACCTTTCTGTCTCAGCATGCTCACAACTTTCCTGCCCAATTCTTCTATTTGCGCAGTAAATTTTAAAGCGTTGAAATTTACTTTACAGCGCAGTTTCTGAATATCCAGTGGCAGTCCGTTGTTAGCGAGACGGGCATCAGTTTTATTCAGATGTACAACTTTATGCTTTTTAAGAAGAGGAAGAATCTGTCAAATCAAAAAACATGACATTCATTCCATTATTTTAGCAGGCACGGGAAAAGGTAAAAAAAAAGTTTTTTACATAAACCATCTTGCCAAATTATAGAAGATCCACATATCGTTAAATACTACATATAGCAGCTAGGAGCGCCTAACGATTAGGCTGAACCTTAGGAGTAGATTCTGTAATTGCGAGAAAAGAAGAGAAGAAAATATTAAAAATTCAACGATTCCTACCTGTCGACGGTAATAAGAAATATTAGACCAACTAACGGGTGGTAACTCGTAAAACATCCCTAGTTGAACTCTCCGTTTAAGTCTAGGCGGGAGTTCTTTGAGTATTCGGACCTCATCCCTTAAGGATGAAATGAAATGATCAACATCAAATATGTCCTGAAAATCACTGCAAGATGTAAAGAAAACAATATTTAGGACGTGATCAGTGGAAAATTCGGGCTAGGGTGAATTCTTTTTTCTTAATATAATCTATTCTACTGACCTTGAATCAGCCCAAAACGAAGTTTTATCCAATTCAGGGACAATAAGTGTAATATTAAGATATCTGGCAACAGCAACCATATCACATATCTGCAGAGCAAAAGGTAAAGGCAAACTCAAGAATACAACACATTCAAAAAAATCATCATAAAAAATTAAACAAAATGATAAAAGGATAAAAGAATAGAAGGAAAAGGAAACTCACCGCTGCACGCATCTGGTTGAGTCCTCCATTGCAAGACACAACAAGATACCCATTGTTCACATACATCCCTGAAAAAAACAAGTCAGAATTCAATTGCACCTCTTGAAGCTTGTGCATAAAAGCATGAGAAGTTAATTGACCAAAGCATTTCATCAAGATTATCCTAATAGGCACATGATTGCATCACATGGCTCCTAAGTTCAGCACGGTAATTTCTTTCTTCAAAATAGGCACAGACATATGAACACAAAAAACTAGCATCAACAAAAGCAAAAACCAACAAAATCTGGACAATCGAAACCCAAAATCATGAAAAAGAAAATCACAAGAATAGCAACAGAATATTATCAAGAAAGATCAATAAATCCAAGATAATCGAATCAGGGGCTCACTCTTTGGTGGAAAATGCTTTTTTGGCTCAATGGACGACACATTGGCCGATGAATATGATGCATCCAAATTGGGGGTGCTTGAAGAACAGGAAGGCCAACTCTTCAAAAGCTTTGGACCCCAAACTTCCCCAATGGCAACCAATTGAATAATACAAGTCCACAACAATAGTGTAGTGATAGCCCTCAAAGTCCATAACTTCATTCTAGCACTTGACGCCCTGAAATACGAGCTCTGCTCTTTCGCCTTTTTCTCCTCTAAAATATTCATGCTCAAATCCCAATTACCTTGGTTTTCTTCTCTCTTTATTGCCATCCTCCAAATTCGCACATATTCAATAAACCCACCAAAAACTTCAAGCCCAAATCTGTGGAATTTCAATAACCCTTCAATATGGCGACGCCACATTGTCCATTGTTCACACACAAAACACTGAAATAGCAAACTGATGATCGGATACGTGTTTTATGAAATCAAAAAATCCTTTAAAATGAATGAAATTGATGCTACCGTTGGGGAAAACGAGGCGAATCTGAGTTTCAACTGACATTAAATGCATTATCTACAAGAATCGGAATGCTTGAATCAAAAAGTCAAAAGACTACACTACAAAAACACCATTTAATCTTGAAAAGGAAAAGGGATCAACCACGGCAAGAAAATGCAACTAAAAATACACACACCGACACACGGACGCGCTCGTTTTCTGTGTGAATATGAACCGGCAGAAGGAACAAAACAACAACTTGGAATGATGGTTGATCGAGAACGAAAAGGAGAAGATCAATAATTGTCACAAATTCCCAAGACCCTTTTCGAAATTTTTTATCTTTGGCTAAAGGGCCGAAGAGATTCCGGCGAGTGGTAAACTGGGTGGGGAGCGGTTGTTGGAGAGAGAGAGAGAGAGAGAGAGAGGGGTTTAAAGAGAGAAAAACAACTGAAAGTGACAGTAGTTACCGTCGGTGAGTAATGCTGAGTTTTTCTTTCTCTTTTTTCCTTTATTTTAATTTTTTCCTTTTTCTTTTTGGTTATGCTCTGTACGTGAGGATAAGGCGTAGATTATGGAATTATTGTTTTGGATTGCGGTCAATATTTACTAATTAGTCTTAAAAATATCGTTTTAACTTTTATATTAATTTTTTTTAATTATTTATCGTTCTTCCAATTATATCCACAAAAGAATCTTATAGTAAACTTCTCATATTGTAAATCACCATAAAATCAAGATTCCTTTAAAATTATTCGGGAAAAAAAATACTAAAATATGTGATTTGAAGAGATTTAATGGAGAGTATATATATATACTAGTACAGAGCCCGTACGATGCACGGGTGCACAATTTTAAGGCTATTTATCCAGACTTATAATTATATACATGAATACAGAAAAATGTACGGTATATATATAGTCCGTGACCCGTGCGTGCCACGGGATATATTTATTTGAGGAATACTATATTATAAAATGCAATATTCAATAAAAGTTTTATAATACGCAGGAAAATTATACAATAAGATAGTATTCAACAACATTATGAGTTTGATTTTCCATACAATAATAATAAGATTTTTTGTAAAAAGATAAGAAGGAATTTTCAATCTACACGAACTTTAAACATTAGATGTATTTACATAAATCAATGACTATATAGGCAACTAAACCCTTCAATTTAGGCTTGACATCTACTTTATTTATGGGTGACGTAAGATAAGGATTTAATTTTGACCGATTAAATCTTTATTCATAAGCTTGACATATAAAACTGATTTGATGAGATTTTCTTAACTAAACCGATGCTATGGGATAAAACAAATCTATACTTACCTTTGACTTTTCTAGCAAAGGTAAAAAAATCGGTTCTGATTTTTATCCCATAACAAATCTTTAATGTCAAACCTATAAATATCAAAACAAATTTATAATTAATATCATTCTATTTCCAGCAAGCATTAATTACCTTTGGTTTTTCTGCCTACTATTTCTAGTAAATAGGATGACTTTTTATATAAGTATAAATTTCATATAATGCAAAGACTGAGATCATAAAAAAGAATCCTAAATACTGAAACAATATATTTGCATAATTTAAGGCCATTAAAAAATCGATCTCTAAACCAGATTTGATTTTCAGAATATGTTTTTTCATTTCGAATTCCATACAAAATGGAATTCTTTCCAACCAATAGATGTCATAGCAAATATTAACTCTTAACTATTAGACTATTAGTACATACCGAGCAAATTGCGTACTGATTTTAGAAAGTTAAAATTATTCATGTTAGGTAATTTTACATTTTATGCATGTTGAACGGTGGGTTTAAAATATTGTTTCATAGAATGTAAATGTGTATTATATTATTTTTATGAGATGTTGAATTTGAAAATTAATAGAATTCTTCTTCATAAGAATTTTAAATGTAACAATATTCTTTGGTATACACTACTAATAAAATCTATATTTAAAGTTTATATTTTTTTTTTACCGAAAAAAATTCCTTAATTTAAGGAATCATATATCTTCAATCAGTCCACATATATATACATTCTTCACAATTTTAAATCTTTGAATTTGATGAGAATTCGTATCTATGAGTGCAAAATATAGTTTAACAAATTAATTTTTTATTATTATTCCAGCCATACTTCTTTATACGATTTTTTGTGAAAATACAAAAGTAAATTCTTAATTTTAAATCAACCGTACATTAAAAAGTACAAATTTGTTGAAATTACAAAAATAGTTTTTTATTTTAAACAGACGTAAATTTAAATCAGTTATAAAAAAGTAATATTTGTTTACCATTTAAATATTAAATCAGTCGTAATTAATGTTGTTTGTTTTAGTTACCACGATTTTCTCCAAACTAAATTAACAATTGCCATGATTTAAGGGCAACATTTAATGCCGCTCTATTTTTAGGAGACATTAAATGTATTTGGCGGTAAAAACTTGCTAAAAGTGTTAAATGGTTAATCTTTTAATATAAAGATAAAAATAGTTAAAAAAAAAAAACTAATATATTTTAATTGAGTGTCCTGTCTACTTTTTAGCTACTTATGATAGAAAATCATTACAATTAAGTGCAACCAAATATTTTTTACTATTATATTATATTATATGACAATTAACTTAATATTAATACGAATTAATATCAATTTATTCTTCAAGCACTTTATTCTAAATCAATATCAATCTTTGTTTTTATTATTATTTTATATCTCATGAAACGATTTTCTATTGATTGATTTTTTTTTAAGTCTAATCAATAAATTTAGATAATTATTGATATTACGTTATTTGAAATAAAAATAAAAGTGTAACCACGTATGATTAAAAAAGGATATTTTTTCTGAAAAAAAAAACAAAAAGGTATATCTAAAAGAATTCCTTATTTAGTAAGCAATATTTTTTTAGCAGGAAAACTTTACTATGTCTAGTAAATTCCATATTTTTTATATTTTCTTTTATTCTCGTGATTAAATTGTTTAATATATGATTCATATTTTATTTCACACGTTATAAACTAATTTTAGAATTAAGAAACATGAAGTTTTAACATATCGAATCATTACCAATAAATAATATTAATAAAAATACTTCTCTCTCTATTTCCTTACTCATATTTATTACAACATATTATTTCGATTCCTAAATAAGTTATGATAATTGGTTGAAAATTTGTGGTAAATATTATAAACTAATACTTTGTATAAAAAAGAATGTAGTGTATGTTACTTTAAAGTTATAAAAATTTTATAATCTTAGTTAACTATGTAAAATTATTTTAATATTTCTTATAATTTATATTAATGAATGTTATAAATATTTTTTAATTTTATTTTTAATCAAATAATTAATATTACAGAGCTTTGACATCGTTTTACTTACTATTGTAATTTATAACAATATACATTATAAACATTTTGATTTTTCCTCTAAGCTAACAATTTAAATCGGTGTTCGATAGATGACTTGTTGGTTTATAATTATACTTTGTAACAATATAAAATATAAATATCTGACATTTTTGGTTTATTATTATAATTTCTAAAATATATATGGTAACGCAAAACACTCCGACCGGCTTGAAATCGATTCGTCTTCCTCCTCCTCGCCGGTAGAACGCCACGTACCTGCAAAAAACTCTCACACCGGGGATTTTTCGGTGAAAAGCCTCCTATGCTTAAGTCAGTATGTGTTTCACTCAATTCTCAAGAGTAAAAAATAGATAAATCGTGTGTAACAAGAAAGGCTCACTCCTATATATATAGGAGTGAGATACCTGCCCTAGGAGCTGCTCGGATTTGGTGAGCTGTCTGCCCAACGCTGCCCGGATCTTCTCGTCTGTACACACATAGTGTGTGTGTGTGTCAGAGGTAGTTACCGCCACTATCGCTCTGCACCAATGTATCCTCGCCATGTGCTTTTTGAGCAGAGGGTAATTATTCCCTTGAATATTCCTGAAGAAGACCACGCGCTTCCTCGCATCTTCCTCATGCTCTCGATTGCTTTCCACTCGCTGAGTAGTCGATCAGATGAGCTTCCCTTTAGTAGGTCGATCTTCGACCAGATCTGCTATAATGTTCGACTACTTCTTTTCAGTCTGTTATTGCTCGACCGACGTGGCATTTCCAGTATTGGACTTGTACAACCGGCCTAGTGAACCGTATATTCCTTAAGTATATAATATCTCATATTAATATATTATAAATATTTTATTTTTTCTTTATAAATTATTGATTTACACGGATAATTCGATAGGTTAACTGTTGGCGGGAACACCATACTATTAAATCAATAAAAATCTTTTTTATACCTATATATATATATATATCCATATTCCGTATATCATGAATCTCCACCTAAATTGCATATAATTCTAATAAAATATCTTGAAAATGAGTTTTATGAAAATTCTTGGTTCACGTGTGTAGAGCAAGCAAATTCTGTTTCAATTTCTTTCATTATTTTCCTTGTACCACACAAATTCTTCAGTTACAATTTAACTATTATTAGAAAACAAAGGAAAAAAAGTATAGCTGTATATAACTATATATAGCAGTTGACATATTTATGGTATATAAATTTTGGTGCTCTCACGAGAATACTATGGTAGGTGGCATGCTTTAATTATTACATAAATTTGTGTCCCTACGCATGAAGAAAGCATAAAAATAAAAAAAAGGCAATTGCTTTTAGAATGGTGTGGATTTGGACCAAATGAAGTATGAAGGATTATAGATTAGGCAATTGAGCATAGTTATGAAATAGATAATAAAAAAATGTTAAATAAAGTGTTGTGGAATATAAGGGATTTCACTTGTGATAAATTATATTTCTCGTTCATGCTTGACCAATATTAACTTTACTATTTGATTTATATAAATGTACAATACTCCTTTCATAATTCCATATTCAAGCAGGACGAGGTACTGAACATACAGCGTTACGTTCACATTACGGACGGTACCGTAATTAATTGATTTCAAGTGTGAACACAATACTGTATGTTCTAATCTCGTCAAGTGTGTTCTAATCTCGTCAAGGTACTGAACATACAGCGTTGTGTTCACACTAGGGACGGTACAAGTGTGAACGCAACGCTGTATGTTCAGGACGAGTCCTAGGGACGGTACCGTAATTAGTTAACCAATTCAAACAGGACGAGGTTAGAACATACAGCGTTGCGTTCACACTTGAATATAAATGTACAATACTCCTTTCATAATTCCATAAAATAGTCCACATTCGATCCGACCTTAAAAGGGTTACTTAAGTTGATTTTATATATTAAAACGAACATCAGCAAAAAAATTTAGGATTTTTGTTTGCGTGATCGTGAGGAATAATTTATTGTTAATTGTTTTGTGTACGAAACGGACTTATTTAAGCCGTCGTGACTCGTGCAGGAGGAGGTATCGGTTTATACATTATATTTAGAGTGTTATAAAATGTTAGTCATATTACTTCAAATTTTATATTTCATCAAATTTTATATTCTTTTTGAGACGTGAATTTTATTTGGATTATATGTTGCCAATATTTTTGGAGGCATGTTTTTGCCTAATTTAGAATATTACCCAAAAGATGCAATATATATTTTTTCCATTTCTATTATGGAAAACAAATAATGTTGCATATGTAAAATGCAATTATATATATTCCTATTTGATTCTTGATTTCGTGCTGATTGATGCAATAATCGAGCAACTATTAACTATACATATATTTACAGAATTTCGTATATACAAATGTAATTTAAATTATATCTCTGCAATGCCATTTATAGCTAAAGATATTTAATTGCAATAGCTACATTAAGAAAAGAGATCAAGTAATAGCTGAGGGGGGAGAAATATGTAGTATTTTGTTCTCATAAGGGGCAAAATGAAATTTTACCAAAGATATAAAAAAAAACACTATAGACTTGTCATGACTGATGGGGTTTCAGTACAAGTTTTGGGACTTAGGATACCGACAGAAAGCCCGTGAACGATGACACCCTTTAAATTAAGTTATTGTCATTTTTAGCCCAACATTTATACATATTCCACTAGTCTCCCTTCATTTCTTGCCTCAAAATCTATGATTGAATCGAAAAAAAAAAAAACCTTAACCCCCTTTATTCTTTTCGAGGCAAAAAATTAAAATTATTAGAAGTTACTTCTTGTCCTTGATACTGGACATATATTGGCTAACATTGGGATCTAATTTTATGGATTCTTTTCTAAGTTATCTCAATCAATTAAAATAAATACAAACTTCCAATCTGTAATATCATAAATTAGAAAAAATATAATGAAAGTATAAAATTTTATAATAAACAAGTTTGCATTTTTATTATATATGTATTATATTCAAATATATATCTCAACTTAGGTACATAAAATGAAAAGGTTAAATTAAAATGTATATACTTGTTGGGAATGTATTCAATTTTATTTTTAATAATTCAATTTGTGAGGGCAATAATGTGGATGTAATATTTCATTTTATCCCATTTAAGGTACAGAATAACCCACACCACTAACAAAAAATATATTGCAGGTGGGGGGAGTCCGACCACTCCATGAATTCAA